GTCCTGCCGTGCCTTGGCAATGAGGAACACAGCCCAGGCTGCCGTGACAGCTTGGAAGCTTGTAGGGGGTGATGGGACACAGGAGGAGAAGAATTCATGTCGGGCTGAAAAAAGGGGAGGAGGGTGCGAAGGGTGTTCCATAATATATCTCACCCTGCCGAGTGCACAGTTGCTTATGGAGGACAAAAAAAATATGTACAAATCACGACTAGGGTACATTGTGTGGGTTTTCTCCTTCCTTTAAGGTGTACGATAGCGCTTCGTTGTGAGTTGGGGTTGAGGTTCCCGAGAAAGAAGAAACACTTCATATTCTAGAGGTTTGAAGTGTAGTGTATGAAAATGGCTACATGAGGAGTGGTGTGAAGCCGAATGTAATGAAAATTCTGTTAGGAGAAAGAAGATCCCAATTTGTTAGACTCGCTTTGCTTAAATACCTGACATGTTCAAATATTTGCAAAAAAAAACAGAAGTAGAAAACAAATGGTAAAGTAAGATGTATGGATTCAGAAAGGCTTCGGAACTGATACAAAAAGCTTCATAGGAAATCAATGATGTATAGCTTACAGTTTGTATCGTTCATTGATGTATATTTTTTTCCCTTTGATAAATTCTTGAAAAAATCTTGATTAATAAATGTAAAATCAGTTACGACTTAACCCTGTACCATCCACGATTACGCTAAAAATATGTTTTGTATTAAAGTCAGGATCTTACAGCCTTCCGTTCAGGACCAATGCTCCATTTATCAATTAGGTTAACAGAAGGGGGGTGCCCTGTTGTGAAGGGGGTTGTCACCTGTTAAACACACACACACACACACACACACACACACTTACCTGACCCAATGCACACTGGCAGAGCAGAGAAACAGAAGAATTTATTCACTTCTCATTCGCTTGCTAACTCCACTTCCCACAACATGATGATTAGCCTTGGGGCCTATGGATGTTAATATGGAAGTCATGTGAAATGACAACAAATGTGAGAAGGAGAAAACCCAGATGACATGCATAAGAAATGACAATTGGGAGCGAAAGGAGGCATTTAAATCTGCGATGCAAATCTCCCACGCATCTTTCAGCTCTTAAAAACCCTGCGAACTCCCGGGCTGCACTTCTTAACAAGGGCTGAGGCACCACCTGGCAAAGAGAGAGGCAGGCGCATCCCATCTTTTTCCATTCTGACAACACTAATACCACTGGGCTTATTGGCCTAGGAAAGAAAAAAAGAGAGAGAGAGAGAGAGAGAGAGAGAAACAGAACCAAACAAGCAGGAGATTTAAAGGCAACAGCATGCAGAGGAAAAGACCTACCCAGAGCTACATATGGACAGAAATACAACAGGAAGCAAGGGGAAGAAAATGGCTGTGAGATTAAACCAGCAATCACTTACGTTTTAGACACAAACCTTTCTTTTGGGAAGGCAACAGGAAAGGAGAAAAAAGCAAAAAGAGCAAAGGAAGGAAGGAAGGAAGGAAGGAAGGAAGCCATGAAAAATTACTGCAACTACTCAGGGAAAGATAAATACTCTGAGAGAGATAAATAGTTGGAAGTACCTGCAGTAGTCTGCAGATACAGTAAGTTCTTCATACTTCATTATGTTTACAGCTCTCGTTAAAGACATGCATCATTGTGCTTTTAACAGCGTCTCAGTTTCATCAATTTCAATTCACTTTTATTTGTATAGCAGCTTTTCCAGAAATATATGAGCCTTATGAAGACAAAAAGAAATGGCCATGTGTTTCATTAAAAAAAAGCTGGCTTGCTGTACACATAATAGCTTCCCAGAAATATGTTATCTATGGAATCCAGATTGATAAGATAATTGCTCTAATTATCAAATTGATCCTAATTATCTTATTAAGCTGTCCCTCATTATTATTGTCCAAAAGCAGACGTAAGTAATGCCTCTCGCCACACTGCTGCACAGGACGCACAAAGAATGCACAAGCACGTCAAATCCACAAACCTGACAAATCCTGGTGACACTTTATTTACATAGTGCCTTTATAATGCATTCATAAGACTCGCATTAATATTTTATAACGCAATGCTGAAGAATTTATGAAAGGTTTATGTCAAAACGCATCAGACGATATCGGAGAGTTCACGTGACTTTGTCATTACATGGAAGAAAGAACAATAATGGATTATCATTATGAGTTGACTGATTGAGATACTGCATTACTGTAATTTTTTTAATCCATATCTTGCGATGTATTAGCTTGTTTTTTAATAGTACTTTCGGGACACCGAGAAAGTTGTAGAATGTACACACAGAATGTTATTAATATAAATTTGATTTTAGCTGGAGGGCATAAAAATCATTCATTTGCCAGGAATATGGGATTCATAAATAAGAATAAGAACTTCCTATATCTTAATTTAATCTTACGAGGCGTAGTGAAAGCTGGATTCTTTGTCCTCTACTAAAACGAGTCAAAAGAAGCAGCTGCATGCTGGTGAAACTGAAAATCCCTCGTACTGTACATTCAGCCTTCAGGCTGCTGTTGAGGAGGGCAAATTGAGCCTGCAGCCATCGAGCGACTGTGACAGGCTAATTTCTAGGCCACAGGGAAAGAGAATGGAGGAGAGAGAAAAGGAGACAGAGTAGCCCAGGTGAGGAGGTGAGACAGGTCACCGCGTGTCTCTCTCTGTGATAAGTGCTCTCCGCTCTCCCTGTGATCCGAGTGTGGATGTGATAGCTAAAATTTTAACAAGCTGAAAGAAGAGATCTACTAATTAAGGTTGTCCTTTTTTTTTCTCTTCTGATCCCCTTCACTATACCGCTTTTATAAAATGTCTTTCTAATATCCCGTCACATTGATTCATTCCCTGCTTACCCCTCCCATCCCTGTGAACGTTGTATATTTATCCTGGCTGTGTGCCAGCAGAACTGAGAAAATTACTCAAAACATCTCACCATCAGTGTTTGTGGTTATAACGAGGGCGAGCGAGTAAAAGAGGCAACAAAATGCATAGCCACAATTGAGATGAAAAGGAGAAGTGACAGAAGTGACTAAGAAGGACGGATATAAATGAAGTGAGAGTGCAAAAGGACGGAGGAGGCGCGGGAGGAGTTAGCAAGGCAAAGAGTGCCGAGGCCAAATTTAGCTGTGAAAGAATTTCACAGGAGAGGACAAACTCCAGGACAATTAGCGTTTCAATATCTTTAATGGAAGTATTTATAACAGCAGGTATACACTTAAACCTTCCTGCTTCTTTCTTTGGTTCCGTGTGTCCATTACTATATTCAGAAATGTGTCAAAAAGCTTTTTAATTTTATCTGTAGCAACATTTCCATCCAACATGTATTACAAAAAAAAGGGGTTTTGAAATGTTTGCTGATATCAATGGCATTTACTGATAATATTTTTATATATGAACAAATTTTGGCATTGAACGCGTGTCACTTCCACCGTTCTAAAAGCAGTTCTCGCTAATTAACTCCTGTTTCTAATGTGCCCTCTTTAATATTCGGTGTATTTGGGTAGGATGAGTTCACAATAATGTGTTATTCTTAACATTTATCTTATAGACTGAACCATCCCAGCTGAAATCATTACAGAGTGTTGAAAGGCATAATACACACATTCCACTTTAAACAAGGCTTGAGGAAAATCCATAAACCTCAAATCATATAAGATATAAGCGCAGATAAGGCTGTACTAGATCATGTTAAAAATTGATGTGGAATATGTTTTCAAATAAACATTTTCCATTAAAGTGGTAGAACTTTGTTACAGTGGTTCTCTGTGCTAGCATTAGTGTAAAAACTCTGACCTTACTCTGACCTTACTGTAGTAAGCACACACATGCAGTTAGTATCAAATGACTTCGGCCTCAGAAACTAACCTCAAAGAACATAATATTACGATCTAGCTACCGAATCTGAGAGCTGCTATAACACTAGGCCTGAAAAAGCAATAAGTGGCTTTGCTAAGCAAATAGTGGTATTTATTTACGTTACAACAAGGCAGATTAACATATGCTAAATTGTAACTGTTAGCTACATTTTTAGTTTAGCATTAAAATTACAAAGCCATAAGCCTTTGCTAACCTAGTTAAGATAGTTTACCACTTAGTTTGTTGAGGAAAAATCGTCAGAGCTTTGCCGTGTCCAACTCTTTCTCTTTCCTCTCTCCTCACTTTTGGACTCCACTTTCATGTTTATAATAGAAAGACATCGATTATAATGACTTCTAAATCATGTAATGAAGACTTCTAAATCATGTAATGAAATTATACATATCCTAATGGATATAATATGTGATTCCCAGTCCTTCCAGATATCTCGCAAATCTGGAAAGCCCTGGATTACCTTTCAAATTCCATTACATTAGCATAAAATAATGCTAGGAAAAAGAAAAAAGTCTCTTTACTTGAGTGTAAAGTTGAACAATTAAGTATAATAGAAATAGTAACCATTTGCCATTCATTGTCTTCTTCTAAAAGGTGGAAGGAACGAGCTAGAGTGGTTAAATGGTATAATTTAACTGCTGGATTGTGCCATTATCCATGCTTCCACAGCTGGGTCACAACGCATATTCTGTTGGAAACAAGAATAATGCCACAGACAAAATGAAGATTTGGGCACAACTTCGGCAGAGTGGTGGCTGGATTAAGGAAAAGACAGGAACCGTTAATTATAGAGAAGAGTGCGACGTCTGTGTTTGATTATATACTGTAGCATGTTAATGGGGCTGTGTATTATAATTTCAAGTGAAAAGTTGCCATTGTCTTATGGATGCTGCTCACTGTGGATATCCAGTGAGACAGAAGATTTCTAGCCTAATTCTGGTCGATTTAATCACGTATCACGTTGTTGTTCTTCTTGTTTCAGCTGCTCCTGTTACGGGTCACCACAGTGGATCATTGATTTGATTTGGCATAGTTTTTAAACTGGATGCCCTTCCTGATGCAACCCTCCCTAATTTTATCCAGGCTTGGGACCGGCACTGGGAGTGCACTGTCACGTGCAACCCCATTGGCTGGGGTCGGTTCCCTGGCCTGGAATCGAACTCGGGCCAAGGTGGTGTGAGCACATGGCCTAACCACTAGTCCTCCAGGGACCCCCACATCCTGTATCATGTGACGAGGGGAAAAAAAAGGCAGGAAAGTTTGCAATGTACATGACCATCAGGTCACCTGGCAAATCCCCCCCACTAAACAGCTCTCCCCTATCAAATGACATCCACCAACCAGGGTGAAGGCTAACACATGCTTTCTCTGAGACATGTGAAGGAAGCCGACCACTGCTGCTTATGCTGCGTCACAGGGTGGCGTAACACACTTACAGGAACTCGCTATCTACCCTCTTCCACATACGTGAGCTCAGAGATGCCTGCAATTGGCTAATGTCTCTGTGATTGACAAGGGAAAGAGAGAGCATGTCCCGCCCACCCAGAGGGCACGACCAGTTTTGCTCCCTAGACTCCTGGCCATGGATAGTTGTGGCATTCGTACTCACAATCACCTGATGATAGGGCGCATGCCTTTTTTTTTTTAAACTGACAAAGCAAAACTTACGTGCTAATAGGCTGCTGCAGGAAGTGGCATCATTACATAAACCACTTTGACCATGAGGTCAGAAACTCAGCTATTCTGTCAGACCTAGATTGTTTTCTGAGTGTATCAGTCAGTACTTTGTGCCAATATGTGGTGTTTATGATTTTTAATAGATTTCATCATCTATATGGTTATCTCCAGTAGATCCTGCAATACTGAACTCATTTTGAGCAAAAGAAAAAGTGGAACACAGCTGATATGCAGACAAAATGAAGGCCAAGCCAAGATGTGTGTTTATTTTTGCCAAACGCTCCTAGCTCCTAGTCTCCTTATAATGTGTGTCTAATACTTTTTGAGGATTGTACAGTGTCAATCACTGAAATTGTGTCATCACAGATTTATGCACTCAATACACAATGACTAATGAAAGCTTTTAAAAAGTCTTACAAGAGTTGAGCTTTTCACACCTGGTATTAACATCCGTCTCCATCCGATCACAAGCGAATAGTCAAAAACGCATCGCCATTTACACCTGGCCTTTTGAGTGCGTCTCTAGTGACCGCCTGTGATCCATTTTCCTACATCGGATTCCTACATGTTTATTACGTCAGTCTTCCTCTGCATTTGTTTTCAGGAAAAAGGTCCCATGAATCCTATCTCATGTACCTGGATGGACTGTGCAAACATTTCCATCATGTGGTCTGCTAATGAATGCTTAACGAATGTCTCACAGTGATGACGTATGTGTGATGCAGTTTTGACTAGGGCAACAACACAGCTGATTAGGTGGTCCTTTGTTGCCATCGGGGACACTTTTGCGTTCGCACTACGTTATGTGGTCATATGCGTCCCTGACCACCTCCGAAGGTGCTTTGAGAGATCGGATCACAATGCGTCTCTGAGACACACTGGACCCCGTACACACCTGTGCTCAGCGCTGTCCACTTACGATCAGATCACACAGGACGCATGTTAATGCCAGGCATGAACAGGGCCTTGGGCCAAAGCTTGACATTCAGTACAAACCTAACCACATTCAACTAGCACTGTTCAGCTGAACTGATTGAGTACAACATGCAGTTAGGTCAGCATGGTGTGTGTGTGTGTGTGTGTGTGAGAGCGAGAGAGAGAGAGAGAGAATGATGCACTTCCTCCTGTCACTACTTTGACGTTATTTTCTCTCCTTGGTGAGGGTCAGGGTGATCCGATCCTCATTTCAAGCTATACCAAGATTAAGGTGTACGGCGGTGCTTTATTGTGTGTGTATTAGCAAGTGTGTGTGTGCGTGTGTTTGTGTGTGTGTGCTCTCTGCTGGAGCGGAAAAGACCCCAGTCGGACTCTTCAATCACACTAAGCCCCAGCAGCTGCAGGCAAACTCTACCAATTAGCCGCACACTGCATCTGACCCTGCCTTCATTAGAGTGAGGGCATACGTGCATGCACACACACACACACACGCACACACATGCACACACCTGACCCTGACTTCATTAGAGCAGGAGGGCAGTTAGTCTGACAGTCTGGCGAAGACAAGATCTCTCTCTCTCTCTCTCTGTCTCACACACACACACACACATCACTGGTAGAGGTGACCGGAGCAGTTCACACACAACATGCTGACAGCAACAGGTGCAGTGGCTGGAGAAACCAAATCAACAGACAACATGAAGCTCACTTGAAAACTGGACAAGTGAAGCCTGAGGTGGGGGAGAGGAGGGGTGGAGGAGGTGTGTGCGGTGTGTGAGGTGTATATTTACCCGTTTCATCTTTCAGTATTTAAGAGACACGTGGCCTGCCTGCTGAGCTGAGTGTTTGGGTGTATGAGAGGTATATTGTTGATGGTCTGGAAGGTGTAATTAGTCAGTGCATTAGAATATTCACCAGAAATTTTTAAAAAGTGCTTAAACTGCACAGAATTGAGAAAAGTCTTTTGAAATTGTGAATAGCTGCTGATGGATTTGTGTGTATGCGTTTGTGAGTGGATGCGAAAAACAAGACAGACCCAAAGTGTGTGTGTGTGTGTGGATGTGTGTGTGTGTGTGTGTACACCAGCTGGCCTCTGATTGTAACCCAAGCCATCTTCTCGCTCTTATCCACTGAGGAGAGGCTTTCAGCTCATCTCCAGTTTCACTTCGACCCTTCCATCAGTGCATCATCACGGAGGCTGATTATACATCATCAAACGCAATACACACTGCTCGTATGAGTGTGTTATATGCATGACTAGGCTTCACGAAATTTCTCACACTACTGAAAACCACTGGCCTTTTAACGAGAGTCTGAAAGACACAGTGGGGTGGAGGGGAGGGGAGCAGTGAGCCCCTTTTCACTCATCTGGCTGGGCACTAGTGGATTATTGATCGCAGACAACCCCTCTCAAAGCCATTCATCACGGACCACTCAAACCCTTAAACGTGTGTGTATGTGTGTGTGTGTGTGTGTGTGTGCATGTGCTGTTGATAGCTCTAGTGATAGCTATTGCCAGGCATCTGCAGCTAGCACATCCATTATTCCCAACAATGAGCTGTACGAGTACCTGCAGGACAGCCTGCAACACTCAGTCCCTATCCAGCCCTGCCTCCTGTCCTCCTTTACACATGCCATCGTGCGAGGGGGAAAAAATAGCCCGTTGGAGGAGATAATAAATAATAATAAAAAAAAGAGCAGGCATTGTTTTCCCACTCAGCCGAGCGGGGATAGCAAAGCTGTTTGGCTGAAGATAGCAGCACAACAGCCTGAAAGATGGCCAGCTACCTACATTATAATGTGTGCGGATATGTGTGTTTGTATGTGTGTCTGTGTGCGTGTGTATGTGTGTGTCCCCAGGTGAAAAGAGGCCATAATGAGCTAAACTGAGACAGTGAAAGAGCAAAAAAGTTCTGACTGTGAAGGTGTGGGTGTGTGTGTGTGTGTGTGTGTGTGTGTGTGTGTGCATATTTAAGAGAGGCTGAAGGACAGAAGACGTCCAAGAAACAAATAATTACGGCACTTCAGGAGAAGGTGTGAGTCCAGCCGCCTTAAAAGTTCTGCGTGACATAATGTGCTATAACCTAGCCTGACCTAATCAAATCAAGTTGCAGAGAAGAGAGAGACTAGAAAGGAATGAAGAGGTATGACCTTTGCTCTAACTTTAAATGCTTGCCAGAGAAGGGGGGGAAAAAAACTTTATAAATTGTACTCCAAGCAGTGGAGATATGTGTCAGGCCAAATAAAGCTTTACAGAAGGGTTTTTTTTTTTTGGTTGGGTGGATGTTAAACAATCCAGACGGGTACGGAAAAAAAAGATCTGGACAGGCAGCCGAGCTTACGCTCTCTCACCGACAAACAGGCAGATTACTTCTGAAAGCAGCTGATCTTACCTTTGTTTTTCCTCCCTCGGTGAGGCAATGCAATTCAGAGGAGAGAGAGAGAAAGAGAGAGAGAGAAGTAAGAGAGACAGAGAAAAAAGAAACAGATAAGGATTGATGAATTAAAAAAAAAGTTCTTTAACACTGGTATGCACCATTGATTTTCTATTCTTCTGGAAACATTTAATGAGAGGAAACTTATTTTAGAGTGAGAGAGAGAGGTAGAGAGAGAGAGAGAGAGAGAGAGAGAGAGAGAGAGACAGCCAGAGCAGTGATGTGAGTGGAAGTATATGAGTCTATTTAAAGTGAATGGCAGATGCTGGAAGAAAAGAAAGAACAAAGTGGTAGCTCATTATCTTACCTGAACTAAAGCCAGAGTGAGTGGCTGGACAGAGAGCTGTAAGCAGAAGAGACAGCGGTCGTTTAGGTTCAGTGTATGTTTTAAATACATCAATAAATAAGTAAGTATGAGGGTGAAATTACAAAGTATAATCTTCCTCAGTCACTGCTTATCAGCTGAGTAATTGAGCTCACTGCAAGACAGATACGTATTAATCAAACACCTAATTATGCTTCAAGCTGTTTTGCTGGATACAGGCAGCCAAATGTGTGCTTATGAAATGCTAATGTTATAACTTTTTTTTTTATATTATTATGAATGGTATTGTTTAATGATTGCTCTGATGCAAACACCAAACATCTCATGGTTGCGTAATCATTTGGAGTAAATTGTGTTAATTTTATGTTTGGCTAAGTGCTTTCTGTATAGAAAAAAAAAAACCAGATCGAAATATACAAGGTCCATTAGAGGAGCAAATTGTGGCTGTAACCACCAAAAACTTAACATCACTCTCCCATACCTCAAGCCATTAGCTCTCTGAACCAAAGCACTGTGCCACTGTCAGCTATTATGGCGCTCTCCAGAGTCCGCCATTTGGACCAATGTGTGGACCCAATTAATACGCACGCAAAGAAAAAGAATTAGAGTAAAGCTTCATTTGAAAGCTGTTATGCGAACCTCTGAGACTACATGAAGTATGTTAGACATTAGATGTTAGAGTTTAACTGTGACGATGTACTCTCAGCCAGTCCGAGAACAGCTCTAGCATGGCCCGCTATGAAGTCATCGAACACAAGGGCTGTACTCCATTCCGATCACATCCTATCAGAGAATCATAACACAGTCTGCAGTCAAAGACGAGGCAGTACGGGGCTCC